TATGATACAACCGTAAGCACGAAGGATGAGAGAAAGAGATTGTACCTGCAGGTCTCCCTCCCCGTCGATCATGAAGAGCCCCGTGATGCCACCCAGGTCGCTGGGCATCTCAAGGGACTAAACAAGGGCGTATGACACAACCGTAAGCACGAAGGATGAGAGAAAGAGATTGTACCTGCAGGTCGCCCTCCTCGTCGATCATGAAGAGCCCCGTGATGTCGCCCAGGTCGCTGGGCTGGTCGAACACTGACGGCTGCTCGAACACAAACGTCGCCGTGCCGCTGGTGCCGTCCCTGCAAGGGAAGGGAGCGGACGGAGCGGCCACGAGGGAGACACGGAGGGGAAAATATCAGTGTGATGCCAGAAGACCGCAGAGCAGGCCGAATACGAAGCTATGAAGCAGGACGCCAGTAACAAGACAGAGATGTGGTGGGGGGCGGCGAAACAGGAGTGAACGGGAAACGCTGAGGTTGGCTGGGCGAACAAGAACGAGAAGGTGCTACTAAGGGAGAAAAAGAAGGCGAAGCGACTGATGTCGGTTCGACACAACTTGAGGTGAAGTAGGCTACTGATTCATCGAGCCGTGCGGGTCGCAATGCGTACCGAGAAATGAGAAGTTGCTATTGCGCAACCGCGGGGCGTGGACGCTACATAACACCGAACATCACTGACTCGTGACCTGATTAACGCCTGGCACCCGATTCCGGATGACACACGTCGACATTGAGCTTCATCACATCGTAAACGCACCTAGATCGCGTGAGTCGGACTTCGGGAATGGTTTGCTCGTTGACGCCGCGGATGAACTGCACGACGGCCTCGTCCACCACCACGAGCCTGAATGACACACAAAAGAGATTTAAGGAGGAGGGAAGAGAGAGATCGGAGAGGAAGGGGGTTGAGGAATGTGCGCGCGTGTGCGTGCCTCAACAATGGTTTGCTCGTTGACGCCGCAGATGAACTGCACGACGGGTTCGTCCAACACGAGCCTGAGGGTCGCATTACGGTGGTGAGAAAACCAGGGGTGCGGGGAGAAGATTGGTCAGGTTACAAAACAAACCAAGTTGGCTCGTGGTAGCCGTGCATGAACTGCACGACTGCCGCATCCGCGGAAACAAGAATGAGAATCTATAAAAAATTAATGAAACTGAGAGTTGCATGGCCATAATATTGGACGAGCGCAGTTGTAAGGGGGAGACATAAAGAAGACGGGGGAGAGAAAGAGAGTGGAAAGGGAGAGGGCGGAGTGAAGGATGGAGAATGGGACAAGGGACACGAATGGGGTCAGGTAACAAGAATGGAAGGAAGACGGGAGGGAAGGCGGGGGAGGGGATGAGAAGGTTGCGAGTAAGGAGGGTGAGATAGGTGAAGGGACGGAGGATTGGATAAGCAAGGGGAAACTGGAGAGAAGAAGGTCAACTATACGATGATAAGAAAATCATTATGAGAAGAATGGGAAATGACATCTCATATAAACCGTCATACCTCTCGGAGGATCGCTTGCTGACAGCGCGAACTGGAAGAGCCACAAGAGCATCGCCCTTGAACGACGATTGCAGGCTCAAGCGTGATCGGAGGGATGCGGATGCCTCGACGCCTGAGCATCTGCACGAGACCAGTTGGCTGGTTTGTCGCTTCTGCTGGGCAGAGACCGCCTTAGCGCCAGCTCCAGCGGGCGCTGACAGGACAGAGCGTGAAATGCATGTGGTCGCCATTGTATTCTCTCGCTACAATTGTGTCTGCAAAGCGAAATGTTCAAGGGAAAGGCTAAGCAGGAACAAGAGGAACTTGCAGGGGGAGGGATTTGTCAGGAGGGTTGGCTTTGCAAGATTTTGAAATGCCAAGAAGACAAGGATTCGTTCTAGTCGCCAAACCCTTGGAATTGCCACCGTGCGACTGTGCGATGTGCGAGTGGGTGGAATTGCCAGGGTCGCAATCTTGGTACTGGAACGTCGCACAAGCAGCTCAGTTGTCTGATGCATGGGCTGACGATACGACCTTGATGAGCTGGCCAACGGTTCTTGGTGACTCTGACTGAGCCACGTCAGAAGGCATGTGCGCTCCGTGGGAAGGGGGCAGATCAAGAGAGTGACGCGTGGACAGGCGCGTGGCCCCATTCAGTTGTTTCCTCGGTGCGTGTGCGAGGCTCCACCACAGTTCGGCAAAAGGATCACCGAGATAACCCTAATGGGTCGACCTGGTGGTTCTCCAATCTCCGAGATGTGCCACCACAGCACCGCGTCTTGCCAACAAGGCAGAACAGTTCGTGGAGGGTCGAAGCCCACGAAGTTTCTCCAATCAGCTTGTCGCGTGGGTTGCGTTAGAAAGTTCGCTTTCTTAGGTGCAGGTATTCAACACCCGAAGTGAAGTACAAGCTGATCAATATAGATACGAATTGTTACAACCACCACATGGAATTCGAAGTACCAGTTGCAGGAAAATAATTTAGCCTATGGTATGTCCCTGGTTGGGATTTTTGTGCTGGAATAAATCTCAAGAAACAGACTCAATGTTGAACGGTTTCTTCCAACAGACTTTCTCAATGATAAAATACAAACATCACAACAAACAAGCGCTTGTTACTGTTTTGCTGTGAACGAGGCACCACAGCCACACGATGAAGCAGAGTTGGGATTGCTGATCACCTGCAAACCAGGATAGGAGGACATAACAGCGTTACATACCACATGCATGGAATGCAATCTGGTGGAAAGCACGTACTTCCAATGTACTCACCTGAAAGGAAGAACGAATGAGTTCGTCAGTAAAGTCCACAGTGGCGCCATCCACAAAAAGCAGAGATACGTTGTCTACCACCAGCCTTACTCCGTCACGCTCGAAAATGCTGCACAGGAAATTGATGAGGGCAACTCAGCACAGGGGATTAGCAACAACTAGTCCGCCTCATCTAAGGGAAGAAAGAGATCATGGGGGTATTCTAAAGATGGGCTAACACTACACGCCCAGATTCCCCAGAAAAGGCCATTGCTTGAGAGGAGCTTACCTATCCTCAGCAGTGACCTTGTCATCCAGAGTGAAGATGTACTGGAACCCAGAACAGCCACCTCCCTCCACGGTCAGTCTTAAACACACGTCACGCCCTTCCTCTTTAATAATCTCAGCCAGTCTCTGCTCAGAAAGCAAACAGACAAAAGGTCCATCCAACACTCATCGCTTGGACTTCTCTTCGCCTGAGCTTAAACACAAAAAGCGACCTGAACTACTCAAAGACGTTGGTACTCATATGGTCACAAGACGAGCAGAGCATGAAAATACTCACTTCCGCGCATCTGTCGCTGAGGATCACCGTTTCCTGTGGCTTTTGCGTCTGTCGCACCACCTCACTGCTCATACGCCTCATCCCGCTAACTACCATCCTCGTGCCCGTTTCCTGGCGGACGCTCTGTACATTACAGGGTGGCGGGTGGTTCTGGCGTCTCAACAACGAAAACGAAGGTACGTGATAACGTCGTTGCAAGCACCCCACCGCAATCGAGCTGAGAGCTGGCAATTCTGCAGATCGGACGAAAGGCGACCGCGTATAATGTTCCCTTAGGGGTGCTACGGCTGCTGCGGATCCTGCTGCGAGTGATGCACGCGCGGATTCCGCTAAAATTGGTGCTGCTGCAAGCGACGTGCTATCCAGCGCTGCGCCTGATGCAGCTGCGAGCAACCTACGTGAGGCGGAAAGGACCCGCACGCTCCTCATTTCTAGCGCACTATGGATTGTACGGAAAGCAAAGAATTCGGAAAAAGACGCCACAGGAGCAAGAAGCGCACCCTCGGGCTCTTGCCGGGCTGCAGACAGAGACCACACCCCACGCGACGAACAGTTCGTGACGAGTTGCTTGCATACCTTCGATTCCTGAATGCCTGCACTGGAATGGAACGAAAGTGGGTTATGTTCGTGTATGTACGAGTCTTCCTGCAAAAGTGGTGCCCAAAGTGCTGTCTGCTCCGAGACAGGTCGGTACCCGTTAAGAGAGCATATGAGCTGGAGAACACTTCTGGTATGCATACAGAATATATTAAATGGAACCATGTATTTACTGTCAATGACTGAAATATGTGACTAAATAAGGAGGTTGCACCCTTCCATAGTCATGAGACAGCTATGGCTATAGGTTGTTTGCTTCGGAAATTCATACCTCCGGTCATTGGTCAAAGGCCTTGAGATGTGGTCTGGAAGCCCAACAATAGGCAGTTCGTGTTGACAGACCTGGTTCAGCACCCTACACGAACCTGAGCTGAACTTGATGCTTTGCGATGCGAACTTCAGCTGCAACTCCCTGCTGGAGTGCTCATCCAGTCCACAGCAGCCAATGAGCAGCCAGTCTCATCCACAACAAATTCCGTTGCCATGCCGTTCCATTCCATTCACATTTCATGTCTCCCATTTCAGCAGTAGCCATGGCCAAAACCGTTTCATGGTTCCTCCAGATTTCATAAATTAGTGGTCGTATTTGTTATCTAGATTTTTGCAATCCGCTGTCTCCCTGAGGGTAGGTCTCGCTGCGTTCTTGCTGAGATCTGGCCGTTGCACACTTTAGCTTTCAACTATGAGTTCTGCGGGAGCGGATTCAGCTGTAGCGCCTGATGGAGCCGAGACTTCAAGGTAGGTCCCATGATCCGTTTGCTTGCTAGTCCTGCCTATGGCTTCATGGATCTCTGTAGTCTTAATCTCATCCCAATTTGGTTTCGAAACGACTTGATTTTGCTTTTCCTGCGACATGCATGAGCAGGGCTAGGAAGACGTACACAACCAGCCAGCTGCAGTCTCTCTCGGAGTTCCCAAGGTGCAAGGAACCGCCTTCAGGATTCGATCCGTCGCCATGGAGGTAAGCCGAGCGGAATCAGGGAGTGTTTCTGTTTTCTCTACTTCTTTCTTTAGTTCCTCCTAGCACCATTTTATGATGTACGATCCGGCAACCGTTGCAGATCCGGTATTTGTTTTCCACAGGATATCTGACAGCCCATTTTTTTCCGTTTCCAGGGTATTGATGCAGGGATTTGTTCCGGTCCCTCAAGGCGTTCATGGGCCACCCCGCCGCGACTGGAACAAGTACGCAGCCACGTCATTCTGTTGATCTTCCGTGAATTCTCTTCCTCATCTGCTTCGACCGAATGACTCGAACCTGCTTGTCATCTTCTGGTTCCGTCCAATCCCTCGTCGTTTGTTTCTGTTCCATCAACAAGTTCTGACTCTCTTCTCTTTCTCTCTCTCTCTCTCTCTCTCTCTCTCTCTCTCTCTCTCTCTCTCTCTCTCTCTCTCTCTCTCTCTCTCTCTCTCTCTCTCTCTCTCTCTCTCTTTCTCTCTAACCTTACGCTTGACTTATCAGCCAAGGCCGGTCACCACAGGCATACGAAGGGCCCGAATGGGGGAGAGACGGGCGGAGGTATCCCGGGGGAACCCCTCCGTACAACGGCCCGGGGCCAGGAGGCCGCGGCGGTGGCCGTCCGATCCTGGACAAAGCCGGAGGCAAATTTCCTGGCGATGGAGCTTTTCCCGCAGCCCCTGGCCAGCCTGGTCAGGTTCTGAACCGGACCCAAGGACAGGGCCAGATGCAGAGTCAAGGAGGGGAAGGTGTGGATCAGCGTGCGGGTGGTCGCGTTGTGCCTGGCGGTCTTCGCCCTCTGGCAGCCGGAGCTTCAATTGCAGGTGCAGCAGGTGCAGGTGGTGCTGGAGTTGGGGTTGGTGCGGGCCCGCCTGGGGAGAAGGAGCGTGCCGTCGTCACGAGGCTGCAGCCCGGCTGGAAGACAGGTGAGCTCGTCACGCCTTGTCGTCAAAAGTGAGACGTTTTTTCAGGCGCCTCAAAAGTGCGAAGCTTCTGTAGCGTGCCGTCAATCAGTGGCAGTCTTCCAGGAAGACTGGTGAGCTCGTGACGCCACTGATACCGTCTGGTTTCCTCTCACAGGCTACTCGTTTTGTTTCCATGCAATTCCACCATTCGCCACTCGTGAAAGTCGGATCGCCGTAGGACTTTATCTGGTTCGTCTCGTTCTCCCACCTTGACTCTCCAACGTTGACGAATTCGTCTTTCTCCCTTGATTGTGACACACTACTTCTGAGTATTGCCACGTGAACAGACAGATGCATACCTACCCTATCCTACCTTCATGCCTCCCTACTCCGTCCAGACACGAATTCCCGCTCGCATTTCTTCGAGCAGCGTCCCTTTCCCGACCGAGCTCTTTCCACGGGCAACAACAGCAGCAGCACCAGCAGCAGCACCAGCAGCCAAGCAGGATGGAGCAAGGACTCTACCGGACCCTCCCCCTCCGCCTTTCCGTCGTCCTCCTCCGCCTCCTCGTCCACCGGTCCCCCTGCCAGCCGGGCTTCTGACGCGAGCAGCAGCTGGAGAGCAGGCGGCGCAGGGGGAGCAGGCGCAGGCGCAGGCGCAGGCGGAGGCGGAGGCAGAGGTGGAGGGGGGGGAGGAAGCGGAGGAGGGGGGAAAGCTGACGGCGCCGCTGCTGGTTCTGGCGGTGATTTCGGTCCTGGGACCAGACCGTACGGTGGTGCGTATGGTGCTCCGCATGCTGGTCCGCAGGGGGGATCGTACGGTAGACCATATGGCGCTGCCAGTAACGCGTATGGCCCGGATAAGCCCAGCAGTGACGGTGCTCCGCCAGGGTTTGAGGGGCCTGTCCCAGGGTATGGGCTTAGGAGCAGGTACCAGCCTGCGGGTATGCTTGGCAGGGGCGAGAGAGGAGGGGGAAGCGGGGGCGGCAAGGGGTGGGAACGAGGCGGAGGAGAGAGGGGAGGAGGGTATGGGCGGGGTTTGGGGGCGCGAGGATTTGGGGGTGGTATGGGGAGGGGAGGAGGTGGCGGTGATGGCGGATATGCTCCTGGTGCTGCCCCCAGACAGAGGCCACGAGGAGAGGATGACTCTGCACGCAAGGTGCGGCTTGCATGCAAGAGCTATGCAGAGCAGAGCACTTGTTTTGCTGATTGTTTTCACGCACGAAGCAACCAACCGCCTCGATTGTTCTGGTGATATGCGTGGTTGGTTGGTTGCTTCTCTCCATGCTTGCTTGCTTGCTTGTGTGCCTGCCTTCTTCCTTGCTTGCTTGCATTCGTGCTTGCGTGCTTGTGTGTATGCATGCGTGCTTATGTGTATGTATGCATGTGTGCGTGCGTGCATGATTGCGTGAATGCAGCCGTACGTGCCGGGAGCGCAGCTGATGGTGGAGGACTCGTTCAACGACGAGACGTTTGGAGGGAGCAGCAGAGATGCCAGGCGGATGGAGGAAGAGAAGAGGCGTCGCGGTGAGCCCCATCGTTTCTCCAATCCCCTTCTCCCGTCCCAACGTCTCTCTTGACACTCTAATATTTTTTTTCCTGCGTTTTTGTCTCTCCACGCCTTTCCCTGTTGTGTTTCATTTGTCTCTGATCACCCTCCCTCCCCTTCGTCCCTCTGTTCTCACCTTTCCTCTCGCTTGGCCTGCTTCCTTTCTTGCCAGTTCCCGTTCGTCACCCAATCTTCTGACGCGCCTGCCCTCTTTTACCCCATCCCTTCTTCATCCTTCTCTCCTCTCCTCCGTTTTCTCCTCCCTCCTGCCTCCATCGCCCCGCCTTCCATCCAAGCAGAGGAGTTTGAGCAATTCCGCAGGGCGCAGCACCAGAAGCAGGCAGGCGGGCCACAACCACCGGGACCCCACGCCCTCTTTCCCCTCACCTCCACCACCACCACAGCCGCTACAGCTGCTACAGCCGCCACAGGCGCAGGAGCCCCTCACGCGGCCCCTCACAGGGCGCCGCTGTCTCAGGCAGAGCTGCAGCGCAGGAGGCACGACGAGGACTCTCTCTGGGACTCCCCTGCCCTCTCAGCGGAGCAGCAGGGGCGTTCCGCGTATCCAGACGACGCAGCAGCTGAGCAGGAGGACGAGTCAGAGCCCCTCGCATCGCCCCGTGCCACAGAGGATTCGGATCTGGATGTGCAGTCAGGGGGGGCATTGGCGGCAGGGCTGGCGCCGTCTGTGGCGGCGCTCATGGGCCTGGCGCCCGCAGCTCCGCCTGGCTTTCCCGCTGCTGCTGCGCTGGGGATGAATGCACCCGCTGCTGCTGCTGCTGCTGCTGCTCCTGCTCCTGCTCCTGCTGGTGCGCCTGGGGTGGGTAAGTCTGCAGGTGGCGGAGGGGGCGAGGGAGAGAATCTGGTGGCGTGGCTGGGAGGGATCATGGCTGGAGCAGGCGCTGGTGCGGGTGCTGGTGCAGGCGCGGGTGTTGGTGACAGTGCTGGTGCTGGGGGAACGGTGGTGGCGCACTCTTTGAGTGGGCTTGCTCCTTCTGGGATCCCACCTGCCTCTGCGTCTCTCTCACTGGAAGACGTTGAGAGGGAGTTGCAGCAGTCAGCGCGTGGGGATGAACTCAAGGATCAATTCAAGGATCAATTCAAGGATCAATTCAAGGAAGACCGTGAGTGTGAGCCCAACACGCCCGCGGGCGTGCTTGTGTTGAGTGACGAGAGCGGTGGTGTTGACATGGGGAAGGGAGGAGGAGGGGAGGCGGGGCAGCGTCTCTCTGTGAGCGATCTGTTTGCTGGGTCTGGGTCTGGGTTGCTGTTATCAGGGGCTGAGATCGCAGCAGGAAGAGGAGGAGGAGGAGGAGGGGACACGGTGGGTGGGTGGCCGGCATTGTCTGGACGTGTAGCTCTTGCGTCAGACCTCGAGGCAGATGCTGGGGTAGGCACATCTGGGATGGATTCTGCTGCAGCTGTGAACGATCCCGTTAAAGTCGATGCCATAGATGCTTCTGCAGTGAGAGTGCTGGTAAAGGCCCCCATGTCTCCCTCCCCCGCCCACCCTCCCATTCCTGAAGGGTCTACCTCCCCCAGCTGGTCCCTGCCTCCAGAATCATCCCTCTTCGGTCCCTCCCCAGACAAGCAAACCAGATTATCCGCAGAAGTAGAAGCAGCAGCGTTTACAGATGCCACAGCTGCAGCTGTTGCCCCTGACTTGCTGCTTGATCCCTCGTCTTCTTCAGCTGCCGAAGCCACTTCTGCTCTTTCCAAGCTGCTTGCTGGCAGTGGCAGCGGCAGCACCACCAACAGCAGTAGTGGCCCAGGCACCGGCACGGGCATAGGCAGCGGCGGCGCTGCTTTTCAGCAGCGCGGAATCTGGGGAGGGATGGGCTTTGGCGCGCTTTTGGCTGGGGGTGCAGCCGGCACCTCAGCGTTCTCTTCCGGTCAGGCCAGTCAAACCGGTCTTGACTGGTCGTCTGGGCCTCTTGGCTCCGCAACAGCAACGTGGGGGACAGTAGGGTCCGGGAAAGGGTTTATGGAGGGTACGGCAGGGAGGGAGTGGGGCAGTGCGGAGGGTTCTGCAAGCAAGAGTGGGGGGAAAGAGAACGGGTTTGACTCGTCTTTGACGTCTGCTGCTGCCGCTGCTGCTGCTGCTGCGGAGGCTGCTGCTGGTGCTGCTCTGCTGTGGGGCGAAGGGGCAGAGGTGAGGGGGACACCTGAGGCATTGTTGGAGCTGATGCGAGGGGAAAAGAAGGGGCAGCAGCAGGCAGGCGGTGGTGGTGCTGTGATGGATGAGAGCTCTCAGGAGGGGTTGTCTGGGTTTGTCGGGAATGGAGTGGGAGTGGGAGGGGGAGGGAGGGAGGGCAAGGGCGGGAGTGGTGACTCATCGAGTGGAAATGGTGTGTCGCTTCTGACGCAGCTGTTCACGAATCCCAAGAGCTATGAATCGGTGCGTGGGTTGCTGAGTATGAGTCGAATCGTTGAGTCTTGTCGACCTTCTACTGACAGCCTCCAACCTCATGTTGTTGTCAAGCCAACAATGGAATCAAGAAGCTAACAGATAAGCCAACATATATCGGCCTGCTACTTCAATCGTTGGCTTCTCTGCACCCGTCCCTGCTTCCTTGCTCTCCATTCACTGTTCTTCTTTTTTAACACAAGTGCTCTTTTTTGAAACGTCTCAAGTGGACCTGATTCTCTCCCATGCCCACTTGTGTGGTGCACTTGGTGCCATGTCTGTCCGTCTGTGGTGACTGGCAGAGCACATTGGGAGAGGGGGAGACGCTGGGGGCGAGGCTGGCAAGCATTCGGAGTACCCTGCACCATGCCACAGTTGCGCAACAGCCGGGTATGTCCCACTCGCTCCTGCCTCGAATCTTGAGTTGACAAAATCATTGTCTCATCAGACACTGGGGGCGAGGCTGGCAAGCATTCAGAGTGCCCTGCACCATGCCACAGTTGCACAACAGCCGGGTATGTCCCACTCGCTCCTGCCTCGAATCTTGAGTTGACAAAATCATTGTCTCATCAGACACTGGGGGCGAGGCTGGCAAGCATTCAGAGTGCCCTGCACCATGCCACAGTTGCACAACAGCCGGGTATGTCCCACTCACTCCTGCCTCGAATCTTGAGTTGACAAAATCATTGTCTCATCAGACACTGGGGCCGAGGCTGGCAAGCATTCAGAGTGCCCTGCACCATGCCACAGTTGCACAACAGCCGGGTATGCCTCACGCTTACTTGATTTGTGAATCTTGGCTTTTGCCAGAGCCTTTTGCCAGCCTTCTGCTTATGTCTGCAGTGTGATTTGCCCCTGCGTTCGTGCACCCTACCTGATTTCTCCTGCATTCACTCCTAGAACTTGACAACCACCATGACCAACGCCACTGGGAGGAATGTGACCTTGGAAACCACCGTCAAGGACACCTATGTTGATGTTACTTTTGAGAATTCTCAAAAACATCAACATCACTAGGAAACCACCGTCAAGGACACTCTTGAGTCGGCTCAAAAGCAGAATTCTCAAAAGTAGCATCAACATCGCTTGGAAACCACCGTCAAGGACACCAAAGATGGCTTGGATCGGGTGGGCTGGTTTCTTAGGCGAGCCACTTCCGTAGCCGACTAGTAATTTGATTTGAGTCGACTCGTTTTGAGTTTATTCAAGATCGTGCGCTTGGAAACCACTGCCATCAAGTACACCAAAGATGGGTTGGAACCCCATGCATTTCTCTTTTGAATCCCACAACCCACCCCCCTCCCCCCCTCTCCCCCCACCTCTCCCTCCTGGCCCCCCTTAGCAGGCAGGCAGTCAGGCATCCCTCTCCTCAGCCCACGATGCATCAGAAATCGAGTCACTCTTAGAGGCTCTCTCCCAGAAAGCTGCTCATTTCTCTCTCTATCACCCCTTCCCTCCCTACCCGATTCTTCTTTCCCCACTGGCCCCTTTGCAGGCACACAGGCATCCCTCCCCTCAGCCCACGATGCAGCAGAAATCGAGTCACTCCTAGAGGCTCTCTCCCAGCAAGCTGCTCCGTCCGCTGCTGCAGCTGCAAGCAGCAGGGGAGAAATCTCTTCAGCCGCTGTCGCTGCTCCCACCTCTACCTCTGTGGTAACCAGCGGTAACACTAGTGACGGCAACGGCTGCGGTGGCAGCAGCGCTGGTGCTGGCTTTGGCTGTGGTTTTCAGAGCAGGAGCATACCCCTCTCTACCCTCTTTGCTCCCGATCAAGCCACGCATTCAGCATCCGTGCCTATGGCCTCTCAACCTGCAAGCACAAGGGGCAGCAGCACCGGCATTGACAGCACCACCGGTGGCAGCAGGCGCGGAAGGGCAGCAGCAGGGGTTTGGAACCAGGCCGGGCCAATGCACTCGCAAGAAATCCCACACATGTACTCAGTGTCTGCTCCTATGGGGCTTGGACCACCACCCTCCCGCCCGGCTGTCCCTCTGGTGCCTGTGCCACCCTCGTCAGGTCTGCCCGTACCTCTGCCCATGCCTGTGGGTCCGAGTCTGGAAGACATTGAGAGAGGGGGAGGCGGGACTGGTGGCGGTGCTGCTGGAATCTCCCTGCCGTTTCCTTTCCCCTTGTCCTCCCAGGGTCCTCCAGACCAGCTCGTGGAAGCAGAGCAAGGGGCAGGAGGGGGCTTAGGAGGGAGGGCAGGGGTGGGAGGTGGGGGCGGGTCGCTGCCATTCCCTTTCCCCTTGTCCTCCCAGGGTCCTCCAGACCAGCTCGTGGAAGCAGAGCAAGGGGCAGGAGCGGGCTTAGGAGGGAGGGCAGGGGTGGGAGGCGGAGGGGCGCCGCTGCCAGCGATGCCGTCGGCAGTGCAGTGGCAGAGCCTGGAGGAAATAGAGGCGTCACTGCTGCAGTCAGCAGAAGGGCAGGAGCAGAGGCAAGGGCAAGGGCAGGGGCAGGGGCGGGATGAATACGTGGAAGCTTCGAGCTCAGAAAACCCTCATGCGCCTGGTTTGGGGCAGCTGTTGGTGCCTGGACTGCTGGCTGCTGGTGAAGGTACGGGTCAAGGGGGGAATGGGTCTGGCAGTGGCGCGCCGGGAGGGGCCTCTGCTGCTTCTATGCATCTGCTGTCATTGCTGACTGGCGGGGCACAGGTAGGAGCGGGAGGTGGGACTGCAGGTGGAGGAGGAGGAGGAGGAGGAGGAGGAGGAGGAGGAGGAGGAGGAGGAGGAGGAGGAGGAGGAGGAGGAGGAGGAGGAGGAGGAGGAGGAGGAGGAGGAGGAGGAGGAGGAGGAGGAGGAGGAGGAGGAGGAGGAGGAGGAGGAGGAGGAGGAGGAGGAGGAGGGGATGTTGGGGCAGAAGCAGCTGCAGGAGAGGCAGCTGATGGTTTTGTTGCGAGTACTGGGGGTTCTGTGGTAGTGCGGGCACAGGAGGGCAAGAGCAGTGCGACTAGTGGTGACGACTGTATCAACGGCTATGTGTGTGGGCATGAGGGCGTGTCTGGCAATGCAGATTCAGATGCAGATGCTGGTGTCGAGTCTGTTAGTAGGAAGAAGGAAAGGGCATCGCCTGTTGGTGCTCCTGCTTCAGCTAAGGAGGTGGCAGCAGTTGCTGCTGATAAGCAGATAGCACCTGGCGCTGGTGATAGCAGTGCAGCGTTTGTTGGTGATAAGCAGAGTGCAGCAGGCGCCGTTAAGCAGAACGCCACAGGCTCTGGTGTAGAGCAGACAGGAGCAGGTGCTTCTGAGACTGCAAATGCAGGTAGTAAGAGCGGGAAGGAGAAGGGTAATAAGGAAGCAGGCAAAGAGGCGGGTCAACAGCCCTCGTGTGAGGAGAAATTTGCTGTAGTAGCAAAGAGTTTGGCTGTAGCAGCAGATTGGACAGTCGATGGAGATACCTCACCAGCAGCAGCAGCAGCAGCAGCAACCGCCGCAGCAGCTACAGCAGCAGGAGTAGAAGGGCGAGGGGGGGCGGAAAGAGATGGTAAAGGTTCGTTTGATGCGGTGCAAGGGAGGAAGGAGATGGCGAAGCAGGAGCCTCGGCAGCAGCAGGTGCAGAAGCCTGGTATTGTGAAGCGGTTGTTTGGGTTCTTCCAAAGCTCCCCTGCGCCTCCTGCACCACCTCCTGCTGATTCTTCTGCTGCCGCTGCTGGGGCTGAGGAGGAGCCGAAGCATCTGGGGAAGGACACGTCTGTTGAGGATAGCAATGTGGAGAGGGATGAAAAGGGAGAGGAGTTTGTTCTGGGACACGAGAGCGATAGAAAGGAGGAGCAGGTGAAGGCTGCTGGTGAAGGGAACGCGTTGAGCAGCAGCAGTGAGGGTGTGGGTGAAAAGAAGGCAGTGGAGACTGACACTGGTGGGGTGCAGAGTGGTGCTGAGGCGGAACAGATGGGTGGAGAGGAAGGGGGCTTTGGGGGGCAGAAAGAGCAGGATGGAATGGCAAGCGTGCAAGATACAGGCAGCCAAGGAAAGCGATCGGGCAATCATAACACGGAAGAGCAAAACGAGATGCAGCAGCAGATGCAGCAGCAGCGGGAACAGCAGCAGCAGCAGCAGCAGCAGCAGCAGCCTACCTCCCCTCCCTCGCTCCCAATGCTGTTCCCAGGGCACCCGTCCATGTCCCCTTCTCCCCAGCCCCATCCTCCCCTTATGCATTCTCCACAGCCCCATCCTCCCCTTATGCATTCTCTCCCGCACTCGATGCACTCGCCGCAATCCATGATGATGCACCCATTCTCGCAGCAGCTGCCTCTTACTGACATGCTTCAGAAGGCAGGTGATTCCCGTCCACATGCTGTGCCTGGTAGTGCCCTACCGCCCTGGCTCCCAGTCGAGCCAGGTCGACCTCCCGATTACCAGCAGCAGCAACAGGACCAGCAGCAACAGCAGCACAACCAGCAGCAGCACCAGCAGCAGCAGCAGCAGCAGCAGAATCAGCAGCAGCAGCAGCAGCAGCAACAGTTGCCTCCCCATGCACCTATCCAACAGCACCCAGGACTCAACTCCTCTCCCTTCCCGCCTGCCATGCCATTCCCCACCATCCCGCCGCCAGGTCTCCCCCCTCCTGGCATGTACCCACATGCCATGCTTCCCCATGCCAGAGGCCCATTCGCATTCCTGCCTCACCACTTATCTCCGCTTCCCCCCAACTACTCTTCTGCCTCCCCTTTCTCCTCCCCTCCCCCGTTCCCTGGCGCCCACCCCCCTGACCGCCCCCTTCTGCACTTCTTCCCCCCCCCTGGCGGTTCCCCCAGTCGCCTCCCCCATGGCCCCCTTCCCCCTCACGAGTTCCCTCCTCACAGCATGGGCTCTGCACCGCACTCCACTGCCCCTCACCCCTCTCCACTTCATACTGTATCAGGAGCCAGCCATTCAGTGCTGGAATCATCCCCCCCTCGTGAAGGTGACTCAACTGCTCTCAGTCAAGCAAGTCACGCAAGTCAAGGGGAGCGAGCAGGAGAGGGAGTAGGAGGAGGAGAAGGGGGAGCGGCAGCAGCAACAGGGGCGCTTCTTTCAACGCCGCATTCCCAACAGCATTCCCAGCAGCATCCCCAGCAGAATTCCCAGCAATTCGCCTCACACTTTCTGCACACCCCACCCAGGCAGCAGCAGCAGCTTCAGCAGCAGCAGCAGCAGCAGCATCAGCAGCAACAGCAACAGCATCAGCAGTCTGGCGTTCAGTCTGCTCCTGCTACTCCAGGGCCCTCTCTACACACACCCCATGCACCCATGCCATTCGCCCATCCCCACAGCCCCTTCAACCATCACCACCCCCACCTGCTGCATCCCGCTCTGGCCTACTCTCCCGTCCGATCGCCCATGCATGCGCCCATGCACGCACCCATGCCAATGCCCATGCCCATGCACATGCACATGCACATGCAGATACACCCTTCCATGCTGCTCCGTCCTGCAAGCCCCTCTCCCCCTCCCCACGCCTCTGCTCCTGCAGCACCCGCTCATCTCCCCAGTTAGGCACATTGGAAAATGAGAACCCAGTGGAAAGGATCGTGTGTTATTTTCTTTTGGTCGTGGAAACGCAGCGAGCGGACTTGCCTGGCCTCGTGGTCATGAGTCATAACCAGTGTTTCCTCCTTGACCAGTTCCCTGCAGTGTTGTGCTGCATATCCAACATCGCTGCATGTCCACCACTAAGACGCAGCTGACGTCTCGCCTGCTTGCCACGCTGCAGCATGGTTAGACTTGGGATTGCCTTGCAAGGGATTCTTGACATTTTGACTTGATTGTTTGAGCTCATTCTTCTTGCTCCTCGGAGCTGCCCGAATAACACAATTACTGTTTGTTTCGAATCTTCCCCTGTTCTCTCATCTGGATTGTTAATGACACTGACATATTATCTCTGTTACCTTCATATCCTCACGAGTTGGAATTGACATCTTCATGCGGGCCTGCTTTAGTGTGACATGTTCACTGGTCATGGCCTAACATTATATCAGCTGACCCATTCTTTTGAATACAGGTGTTAGGTTAGTGTTTTCCTAGTCTGCTTCAAAAAGTCAATGTACTACACTGCCTAAATTGTAGCAAGACCACGTGCATTTTGATGAATGTACACCCACCCATCCGTGTCCAATATTCTGGTCAGGTTCAGCAGCGTTCACTGCCGAAAGCATGGCAATTGGGAGCTACAGTTGTTCAAGACACCGAGCCGAACCGAGCTCGTTTCTGTTCATTATTGAACTGCGGCTGGAACAGTTTCGCAACTCGGCTTCTGCCGAACGAGGTTGTAGCTCCTCTGTGCACTGAGTTCTGTCTGTACTGTTTTGTACTGGGGTTTTGAGTTGAGCACGCACTGTTACTGAACTTCTTCGCTCCCAGCGCGACTTCAGCGCTTCTGGCACTGTTACTGCTCTGTTTTCGCTCACAACGCATACACCTGGGCTCCGATAATTTCAGAGCCGGGGCACCGGGTCGCACCTCTGTCGTTTAGCCCAGCGGTTGAAATTATGGGGAACAAAAAAGTTCCCCCTAATTTCAACCCCCCTAAGCGCAGATATTTTGGCGCTGAGTCAGTCCCCGCTGGAACATGCCAGCGAGGACCCATGTTACTGTAAACAGTCTGAGGTGGTCCGTTCATTTAGAAGCCCATATTCATCTCCTTCACTTGGGCCGTCCATTCTATGCCACGTAGGAATCTAGTACGGCTGGTTTGCTTTGTGGGCCACGAAAAACCTGCCTGGGAGCCTTCTCGAATCTCTTTCACCAGCTCATTCCAGCGTGGAAATGTGCAGACGCGTCAGGTCACAGGCTGTAAAGCTCTCGACTTCACTGTTGACAACCTCCGAAGCGCTCGAGCTCCTGACCCCATGTGACGACAGGGGGCTTGCAATTACAGGGAATGAAATTATCGGAGCCCACGTGTAGTAAGCTCCTTTCAACGCAGTTTTGATTTCATTGGTCCACACATGGCACATAACTACAAACCGAACCTGTGGATACTGTCACAGAAAACAGTGACTACTTTTATTTGTTTTTAGTGCTAAAACTATATATACCCCTTGAAAAAAGGTATCGATCATAAACACCTTCCGAATGGTGTTTAGGGTTGATGCTCTATCGAGACAAGCCATCGAAAAAAATATACTCGTTGGGAAGGGAATCAATCATAAACACCTCGTTTCCCGGTGTTTAGGGTTGATGTCTCCCTCGAAAAACATGCCACCCAATAGGGTTTTTTTGTGCCCGAAATGCTTTCGTTTGACAGTTCTGTGGCCGCCAACCAAAACAGGGTTATCGGCCCGTCAATTTTACGACTAATGAAAGCGAAACTGCGATGAAATGAGCTAATTCTGCATTGTGAGCGAAAACCGTACAGTAACAGTGCGCCGGAAGCCTTGTGGCTTGTTACGATGTGAAGTTTTATGAGAAGGCATTCCTCTATGCTGCAGGAGCCGACTCTACCGAGTACGAAATTGAGGATTCAGAAGAGCCGAAGCGACGCAGCAACCGTCAGACCAAGACCGATGCAGGCAGAAACATTTGAAGTGAAAAGAGCGGGAACAGTTTTTGAATGGGTTCCCGCGCCGCACGGTTTTGAATTCGGTTGTAATAAGGGAATGTACCCCTTAGAGTACATGGCTAGTCTAGGTCCTTTCGTATTCCCTTGTACTCATATATAAACCCGATGTATGCATGCTATTATCAACTCAGTCATTTACGTTCACTCTGACCTGAGATTCAAACTTCCGCTGCAATACTACTCCGCGATCAACCCTGAGCGATCCTTTGCTAAGTCCCACTTGGGATTGTAACATGGTATGAGAGCTACTCAGGGATTCTTCGCAACTTCACTTCCGTGAAATTCGCCGAATCAAGACCTGGCGAGCGGCACACGCTCCAAGACCAAGATGGCCGGAGCATCCGGAGGCCAAGCAAATCTGACGGCTGAAGGACAACCCAATCCAGCTACGACAAGTGAGGCGACAACCACAATCGGCACTGCCACCCTCGAGCAACTTTTCGCTCGACTTTCAACTATGGAGAAAGAACTCCAAGAACTGCGCAAAGACGATGCGGGAATCTCTTCCCAACCAGCACAACCTGGACAACCGGCTGAGAAAAGCCGTGATACCGCCGCGCACACCTTCTCCCTCGACACAGACAAATCAGCAACAACTGCCCCCCGTCCAAGTGGTGAGGCTATCAACTCTGCGCAAACACGCTTCCTCAGCGTTTCAAAGATTAAGACTACTGCCGCGTTTGACGGCAAGGATTTTTACACATGGAGTTTTGAGCTGGAGCTCCTCCTACAAACAGCGCAGATCTACCATTACTTCGACGGCTCCTACCCTAAACCGGTGGAAAACACCGACGTCGCCAGAGCTCAGTACTACAGTGAGTCCCTCATGGCTTACAGTGTGCTGCTACGCAACATGACGCCTGCGGAACAACTCAACATACGCTCCTACAAAGAGAGCAACGCTCCAGCAATGGAAGCTTGGAAGCACCTCGTTGAAGTTTACCAGCCGAAGGATTCGGTCACCGCCAGCAGGCTTCTCCAGCAACTCCTGGAGATTAAAATGGGGCACGGGGAGAAGGCAAAACCATACATTAACCGCTGTCGCAACATCCGTGACCAGATCACGAAGCATGGGAGTACGATCTCAGAAGATATTTTCGTCAATATAGTCCTTCAAGGACTCGGGCCTGAGTGGAAGCCCTACAAAGCGTTACTCCGACAGCGAGGAACAATTTTAGAAGCCGCGCTATGCGCCGCACTCCTATCCGAACAGCAGGATATGGACTCGAGCAGAACAAGCTCCGCGCCGCGCCGAGAGTGTCAGATTTATATGACATAGTTGCTGTAGGCTATAGTGGGGTAGCACATATGGGGCACAGGGTTTCTAGGGTTGCATTTGTACCCAATCTTTCCTTAGTCATTCCATTCCTGCTTACTCTTTTCACATGGTATAGAGCGGGTTCCCTGTGGAACTCTGCCTAGGGCCCACCGAAGCGCGCCCCGAGGCGCGCTCAACTTTTTTTTCCGCTCTCGAGCGACCCTCCGTGTCGCCTCCCTCCCACACGCGGCCCAGCCGCCCGCTAAGTCGCGGCCCCAGCCGCCCGCTACGATCGCGGCCCCAGCCGCCTGCTCGACGCGGCCCCCCAGCCGCCTGCTCGACGCGGCCCCCCAGCCGCCTGCTCGACGCGGCCCTGCCGCCCGCTACGCCGCGGCCGCCGCCCACTACGATCGCGGCCCCGGCCGCCTGCTACGACCGCGGCCCCAGCCGCCTGTCCGACCGCGGCCCCGCCGCCCGCTCCTGTCGCGGCCCCGGCTGCCTGCTCGCACGGCCTCGCCGCCCGCTACTACCGCGGCCCCGGCCGCCTGCTCGACCGCGGCCCCCCCGCCGCCTGTTTGACCGCGGCCCCGCTGCCCGCTACTGTCGCGACCCCGGCCGCCTGCTAGCGCGGCCTCGCCGCCCTCTACTACCGCGGCCCAGGCCGCCTGCTTACACGGCCCCGCCGCCTGCTACGACCGCGGCGCCAGCCGCCTGTTCGACCGCGGCCCCGCCGCCTACTACCGTAGCGGCCCCGGCCGTCTTCTCGCGCGGCCCCGCCGCCCCCCTACTACCGCGGCCCCCAGCCGCCTGCTCGCACGGCCCCGCCGCCTGCTACGACCGCGGCCTCCCAGCCCACTAGGCTGCGGCCGCCGCCTGCTCAACCGCGGCTTCGCCGCCCACTACGCATCGGCCCCGCAGTCCACCTGTGCCGCCGAGCCGCCCGGGAGCCGAGCCGCCCTGCAGCCGAGCCGCCCAGGAGCCGAGCCGCCTTGCACCCGAGCCGCCCTGTCGCCGAGCCGCCCGGGAGCCGAGCCGCCCTGCCCCCGAGCTGCCCTGCCGCCGAGCCGCCCGGGAGCCGAGCCGCTGTGCACCAGAGCCGCCCG